AAAAAAATCTCAAATTTTTTGGATTATTGACTTGAATATTTCATTAGTTTTTATTAATAAACAACCCAAAACACTGGAGAATAAGGGTTGGATAGGTGTGTGTGCAGGGGGGTGGGGGGGTCATCGTGCTAACTCACATAATGGATCCAAATACTGTGGAATCTTCTGTTGCTGGCTTCAGCATCTGTGATTTGGTTCTTAGTTTTAAACGGTTAAACTTTTCCATCTGAGGAGCCATGGGAACCTCAAAGGCAGCAGTAATTAACCGTTGTGTAGCTGCTGCATACTGTAGGCATATTTCTTTTAAACGCTCGACCTTCTGCATTTAAAAGAATTCACAGCAAGGATTTTCAGTAAAAACGTTTCACCTCTGTGAAGGTTGAACAAGTAACCTGGCCAATAAAAGGGGTGCAATATTTACCTTCAGAATAGAGGGTGAAAGAAGCAAGCATTCCCTCAGACACTTGTCAAGGAAAAAATCGTGGTAGTGTATTACCTATATTTACCAGAAAAAAATAGGTGGCAGTACGAAAGTCAATTAGAAATTGGAACGGCCAAAAGAAAAGGCTGCAAAAGCACTCTTTCAAGATAATCCATATAATTAACAAGTTTTGGTATACGATATAAACTCAAAGACATGGTTTACATTCTTTATGTTCTTGATCTTAATTGTAAAAAAATAAAGCAGTATGATTTATTGATAAAAAGAAAAAATAAGACTGAAAATGATTATCCTCAACAAATACAACCAAAACAATGCCCCAAAGGCTACTTTTTTTTATTTTTAAGTTCCAACCAATTTAGAGTGAGCAGTCAATACGGTATGAGATATAGTAAACAAATCTGGATGATTAGGCTGAAAAGCCAAAAATGACACCAAACGGCCGCAATCACTTGTGGGCGTAGACGTCTTTGGTGCGAGGTGTGCATTGTGAGAATGCACCGATTAGCTAGATAGACAACTATTTTTTCAAAAGTAGGGCATTATTTGAAAGCACATCTGACAAGTGTCATTCAAGTTGTTTTATTGTCGTGGCTTTGAAGCTGCAACTCTTTTATTTTTCCAACAACTTTTGGAGAAATATGTTGTGTAGCTTAAAGCCAAACCAGGCCCATGTCACGCTTCTTGAGTTGAGCATATTTGGAGAAACATATTCTGTAGCTTAAAGCCACAGCAATACCAAATCAGGCATAAGTCAAGCTTCTTGAGTTGAGCATGTTTGGGTAAGCATTACTATTATGACACCTCACCTCATCAATGCTTTTTGCGGTTTGAAGTCTGTTCTGCATCACATGCCAATTAGGCTCGATAACCTAAAGAATGTAAACAGACATTTCAGTGAATGAAACCTTATTTCAGTGTAGACTACCTTATTTGTTTGCACCATGGTGTTTTTCCCTTCTGTGAACAAATTTTGCTTATTGTAGTAAACCATTACCAAAAGGAATCATCATCTCCATTACCCCAAACACAAAGTGGCAAAGATAACTGATCCAGTTATTCAAATATTTGTGCTACATACGAAGTAAAATATGCAACCATCCTCTATGCCCACTATAAAATAAAAACATTATGGCTTAGTTTGTTTCAAAGAAAATAAGTTGTGGAAAATAGTTGCTGGAGAGTGTTTTCAATGGAAACTTTTTCCCTGAAAGATCAAGGAAAATAAGTCATTCAATGCAAAAAAGGCCATTCAATGGAAAATAAGTCATTCAATGCAAAAAAGGCCATTCAATGCATAGTATAATGTTCGGCACACAAAAACAGATTATTTCCGGTAAACAAACAAAACCTACATGCGCAAACCATACCCACAAATAGCAGTAAATCAGATATGAAAAAAGGAGAGAGGGAGAGGGAGGGGAGAGAGAGAGAGAGAGAGAGAGAGAGAGAGCAACAAAACTGACTGACATAAACAAAATACTGGGGTATTTTCTACTTTTTTTCTTTTGGTTATTGGCAGAACTTGCCTCAGATGTAAGGTAGTGTAGGAGGCTGTTAATAAACTTTAGCATATTGCGACATAGTAATGATGATACAGAGATTGCCATGCCATGCATATCAAGTTTCCGGAAACCCTGAAAAAATGAGAATAAAAATACATGTCTGGGGAGGGATAAAAAAATTGCTACATTGGAAGAAAAAATTAAAATAAAATAAATATTGCTAACAGTTGATGATAGAAGCTTAAGTCGCATACTTGATGTACTTGCCATGCCCCAGAGAGCTGCCGGTCAACATGTTTACAGTGAAATAGAAAGCGAAATATTAGCTGGTACTTTGTCAAAGCCTTCCTTGAAATTACAAGGGACAAAGGCCATTGAACCTGAAACCCAAAACACATTATAATGACCACAATTCTAGGTGACATGAATGGAATTTTAACTATTGAAAGAGACAGCATGCGGAAAGTTAACCAAACTAGGTATGTTTTATACAAGCAGGCAAGCAGCTATTGAAAAACTTATACAGAGTGGAATACATATTGGAATTGCGAATTTGCGTTGTTCTACGATAAAATAGTACTCTCTCTCTATTCTTTATTATAAAGCACCATTTAAATTTTCTTGTAATTTTTCATTGTTTACCTCTAATAATGTTTTTATGTTTATTTTTAAAAGAATTCATTTAGAAAGCATAACAAAAGAAGGTAAATTTGGAATATATAATATGTTTAAGATCTGAAGAAAATTAATTACTCTCCTTAGTTTGTGGGAATTGGTGAATCGTGCCTTAAAATAAGAAACATATGTTGTAAGAAAATTGGAACATATATATAGGGGGGCAGTTCTTGTTAGAATGAACCTTGGTGAAAGAAATAAGAATTGTGCATTTTGTATTCATCACGGTGCATTTTATAAAGCAGGTAGTTCCGCATGGTGCATTTTATAAAGCAGGTAGTGCATTTTACAAAGTTTGATTTAATTACATAAGTGCCACCGCGATTTTTCTACTTTTTCTTATTTTTCAAATTTTTGTGGCCCTTAGATCTCAAAAGCGCCACATGCATTCTTTTTTCTTTCATAAGATCTCATTCTCACCAGAACCAATATATCTGTGTGTGTGTGACTGTGTGTATACATATATATGACTTAAAATCATATGATATCACATACCTTGTAGTTCAAAGAAAATGTTTCCAAGCCAGTGATGCTCACTGGTTCATCTAAATTATGGCTGTCTGAAACAAGCTGATTAACTTCAAGATCTTTTAGCATACTCAACCTTTTTAGCAAAGTTGTTCTCTCCTGAAACCAGAAATTGAAACCATTGCGTATTCATCGCCAAGTTCTCTAAATTAAAGTCCTAGCCTGTTTTTTATCTATTTTGTCTTTCTTTGGTGCACCTGGGTGCATATCATTTTTGTGGACCTTCTCACATAAAAATCCTTTTTTTTAATATAAAAAACAAATGCTTATTTACGTAGTAAAAAATGCTTATTTTACTCATATGTAGGTCCATGGTGGACCTTAGGTCCACCATAGAATTTGCCTTTGTCTTTTGATTAATGAAAGTGCTACTTACCACACAACATGACAAGTCCTCATGGCATGGGTCAGCAGCAGCAGCTGTGGTTCGCAAGGCAAGATCCAAAAGAGACTACATAATAAGAAAGTAAAAGTCACGAAAATTTGAGTTCACGCATTTTATCAAATAGTAGATTGACTGAAAATAAACTATCAGACTTATTAGAGTATATACTAGTGTACAGTGAACAAGACCTGAAGCTTCTCCACTGAAATCTCATCTGGCTTCTTCATGAGCTCCTCTTTGGCTATATCCATGAAGTGAACCAAGAAATCACCCTACATAGTCAGGGAGAATGATGGTGATAGTATCAAAATTCAAAAGTCCATCTGCTCACATTCATCCAGTCCATCCAATTATCCAAAGGTAATATCCATCCAGTATAGAATTAATTATCATGGATTGGATCCATTTGTATTACAAAGATTGTTAGTGATCCCTCAATTATATTTATAATGCATTGGTTCACATAAAAAAAAACCATATAAATCATTATGTGCACCACACAAACATTTGTACAAAGGGGAAGCCATAAGAAAATGTGCATGGACTGAATGTTTTAATGAATGTTTCATGGATCATAAATGGAATAATGGATTGTTTTTAATCCATTCATTCTAATCAAACTAAAAGTTTGTCTAATCCATCAATTTGTCCATACATGATGCTACCACACGGGCACACCGCAGTGGCGCAACCTCTATGAATGATTAGATGAACAATTCTTAAACTTATGTTTGGAGTGGGGAGACATCAAATAGAATACATAGATAGTAGCATGTGAATAATACATTTCATCTAAAGGGAAGATCGAGAGTGGTCTACAAAACCAGAGATGCATAGACTTATGTGTATGTCCATAAAGAATTAAGTGAACAATATTTTCCCACTTTCATGACCCGAAAATACCCACTAAAGTGTCAATTGGCTTTTCTTGGTTCCTAGACCTATTGCATCGATGTGCTGAGTGTTTAATACCTGATCAAGGAGGAGGTAGTGCTTGATAGACCGCAACTTTGCCATAAGATCATACTGCCAATGAGAATATGGAAATTAATTGATACTTGACATGATAGTTTACTGAACTTTACGCATTTAGTTTCCACCAAAAAAGGACAAATTGGATTGCACTTCTCAGTTCTCACCTTCTCTTTAACTAGGTTTAGTAACTCACCACTGGCAAAATCATAAGCAGCCTTGATGCACTCAAGATAATGGTGGTTTGAGCTAACACTGGTCAACTTTGAATTTTCTGCCACTGGGACCTGTAAAGTTTGATAAAGAAATAGAGAAATAGATGTACATGTAAATGTTCTAAACTGAAATGCATATGATACAATATGTAATTATGCTGTAAACCTGAATACTGTGTCCACACTCTCTCATGACATTCAAATATTTTCCTGTGGTTAAAATTGTTTCAGCAGCATTTGCTATAAAGCTTGGAATATCACCCTTGAGGGTGTAACGCAGTTGCCAATACTTGGCATCATAATCTTGAGTGAGACTCTCCTGCATAGTGGTAGAGGTATCAATTAAGACATAGTCCTAATACAAGTAATTGTATATAATATCTTGAGTGTTTTAAGTTACAGCCCACAAGGTAAAAACTTTTCCTTTAGAAAAATCACACCTTAAGAAGAGACTTGTTCTCAGCAATAAAAAATTCTCCATACGGGTCATCAATCTTTCCTTCATACACCCACCTGAAATGTATTTTTTTTTTGTTGAGCAATGAAAGCAGCTATTATCTACTCAAAGGAGCAGTAGAGGCTTCTATTAAAATCTCAAAGGTAGAGGTATGGAAAGAGAAAGTCTTCGCCTTGGCCCAGTGAAGGTAGAATGGTTCGCCTTTATATTCACCTAGTGAACTTTTAAACCAATTTAGTACATTGTCATAAAACTTGAGGTACCAGTGCCAGAATTACCCAAAGTTCATGTAATCCAAAACTAACACTTTGTATTCACTTCCTAATAGTAAATGAGATGAACCCTTTAAACCTGACTAGAAAATGAAACATGAGAAATGCATTCGACCAAATTAAGATAAGAGTGTGTTTATCTCTTATCCCTGATTTGGAATTTATCCCATTCTTCCTAAACCCATCCTTCTCTCTTGATATCCCACTCTTCTTCAAATTATCAAAAACACCAAAAAGAACTCCTCACCATCTCCATATTTCGTCCAGCCCATTCCCAACCTCTACACCTCCATTTTCTTCCCATTTCCAAGCCTAAAAACAGCAACTTGATAAGACCCCCGGTTCACCCCTAACAGTGGGTAGTTATTTAAAACAGAGTACCTTTCGAGTATCCCAAGATATGCACTGCTTGCTGACTGCAACATCTTTTCCAGCAAAGACCTGACTACATGATCACCGGACATGGCCTTGGCCTGGAAACAAAAACATTAAAGATCAATTTCTAACACTAAAGAAATTTGAGCATACAGTTATGGAAGAATAAACAAACCAAAAGCTTAGTCAAACACTCTAATTATGCACCTGGCTTTGCAAGAGATTAATGACAGCTGAACCCAAGATATTACTGCAAGAAGCCTTTTTCACCACAGTGGACAAAGCTTGCATTGAACCCATCATTGGCTAAAGTTTCAAAAAACCCTTAGTCCTTTAAAATGTGAAAAATGAAATATGAGCAAGAAAAAGGAAAAGAACTCTAAATACCTGACAATAGAACCATAATCCTTGAATAGAAAGCTTTCCTAAACGAAACTGATGCTCGAGCTGAGCCACCATGGCATGATAATCCTGAAATGGAAAGACTTTATTTCACTTATTACTTAACTAATCTTCAATTGAATCTTCTCTCTACTTTTAGATGCTTGAAGTTTATAGACATTTCAAAAAGGTTCTGCCATGTATATGCTAAAAAATGTGATAATAAAATAGAGGGAAAAAGTAGATCCAACTAAACTATCGAATTTATTTCATTCTTTCTATTCCCTTTCCTCCCTTTGTGAATTAAAGCAATCCATAATGACCTTAGTTCTATTCAGGTTTTGAAAGGCAAAATTGGGTCTGTGAAATAAAAAATATACTATTACAATATGACTTGGTTACAAATCTACAAATGAAAAGGAACACCTCATTATGTAAGTGGAAATGAGGCCTAGGCAAGTGGCTAAGGTTTTGTGTGTGCGAAGAGGGGAGTCAGACTATTGTTTTCTCGTCGAAGGCTGGCAACTTTTTAAAATTGGCCTCTCTAGAGAGAGCCAGACTCTAAACCCCTCTATAAAATCAAGGCATAAGCCTTAACAACTTATGTGTCTTAAAGTTTGTGTGCCTCTTGCCTCAACGGCATCAAGTCATATGCCTTGTCTCTGTCGACTAGGACTTGAGCCATCAGTGCATTTTCCACACACCTTTAAGCCGCATAAGCAGTTAAGCACCACATTGACTAAGCACCTTTTATAACCGTGAGAACTTCCTTCTATTCAAAACCTCTCCACTTCTTTTGGTGTTTCTTTGTGTGTGTGTGTGAGGGGGTCCCCATTTAAAAAAAGAAATTTTCATGTGGGTGGACCACATAAAGGGGCAAAACACCCTTCATGATATCAAGAATCTATGTAACTCTAACTCATAACACACACTGCTTAACCAAGTGTCAGTTGGATTTAGTGCCCCCTAAGCTGCAGGCTAAGAGTTACTCTCATACAACAATAACCCCCTCTGTCCCAAAATAAAAGCGCATTTCCTTTTTTGGTAAGGAATACGTGGCCCTCATTATTTCTCTCTATTTCAAATCAATTCTAATCATCAATTTTTTAATTTTCAACCTTTTTCTTAAATTCCGTGTTTGGTCAAAATGGACATTTAATTTGGGAAGGAAGAAGTATAACTAACTGCACAAAGATAATCAATTGTAACCCAAGTTTGAAAGCAATACTATAAAATAGAAATATTTGCTTCTGCAAAGCTTATGGTAAGATGATTGACAAGTGATCCTACCAGAAGAAGTGATCTTAGAGCAGCTGCAAGGGCATGATTAACTAAGCCAGTTTTGAACTGCGATCTTGTCTCAATAAATTGGTTGATCAGCAAATAACTCTCGCATAAGGGGAACAGCCTTTTTGAAGATTCCTGCAGGTTTACATTGTTATACTTGATCAAATAATTAAAAGACAAACTTGTTGAGGCATCAAACAATTTTATATTGAGCACGATTAGTCTTCAGCTACAAATCAAAACAAATTCTGTGGTATGAAATGAAGTTTAGTGACACAAATAAATCTTAGCACCTTTAGGATCATCTTTTTGTGTGCATAGAAAATTATAAATAGTAAATGTATGCAAACACCACAGAATATATTTTAGAATTCTTAAGTTGATTTAAGGTGTGATTTAGACATTGTGTCTTTTTTCTCAGTCCACTTAAAAGTTAAATATGTAAATAATTATATTTCAAGTAGAACAATCTCTATTCTTATGAAATTTCACACAGGATAGATCAGGACTTCAAATTTCCTTCAATATAACTTCATAAATTCTTAGGCATATTATATGAGTACAAGATGGGTAGTCATGTAGTTTCGACTATCTTGGAATTAGCAAAAATCATACCTGGAGTGCAAGATCCATAGACGCATCAACCTGAAAAGATATACTATCTTCCTTCCCTCGGGCTCTTTTAATTGAAATATAGCGTCCTTCAATCCCAACCAACGAAGACAAAAGATCATCAATAACAATCAGTTCCTGCATATGGCACAAAAAATGATGATCAAATGTGAAATCCAGTATGGCCATACAGAGACAGAAACAGACATCCATACGTTTTCAGTAAGTCGAAGACAGATACAGAGATTAAACTTTTACAAACACTAATATTTTTGAATACCTGAATGGCAGCATGGTAGCAACATATTGCCTTATCCACTCCAGAACTGTAACAAAACAAACATAAATTGATCTAATTCTTATTTTCTAGACGGTATTACTAATAATTCTAATTATGCCAGTATTCGTATAATAGTCAGCTTTCATAATAGGTTGAGTCGTAATTATGTCAGGATCTCCTCCTATATATACACCCATGTATACTCTCTATACTATTGAATAAAATCCATATTCTATTATTCAACATTATTAAACAACACCCTCCCTGCTAATAAATTGGTACACAGAGAACATCAGCAAATGATTGTAGCTTCCGGATAATCAGAGAACTTTGAGCTTAGCAGTTTCTCATTACATAAAACCATAGCCACAAGATAACACTCCAACGAACATGAATGGGTTCAAGCTATTTTTCAGATTTGGAAATGAGCCACTGGAGTGAAAAATATGAGCTGATGTGAAGTTAATACCTGGAAGGTTCGTGAAATGTGGATTTTGTTTCCTGACATACAAATTCAAAGCTTTTGGTTAGAGGGAAAAAACAAGGCGAAGAAGATGAAGATTGAACTGAAAATTGATGAAATGAAAGAGGAAACGGGATGAGGACCTGGTGAAACCGGCCGGTAAGGAAAGGTCGATCCACATTCCAGCGAGGAGTTGATATGCTGGTGCCTACAAGAGATGTAGTAGCTGATTCCATCGCAAATTGCTCCGGACTCCCGCTCGAGGTCTAGAGAGAGGAGACGTGGGTTCCAAATTTTCCGAATTCCGTTCTGACTCGTCTTCTTCCCGTTGCCCGTAGACTAACTGGTGTGTTTAAACTTTTGGATATTTGGATCTCCGCTATGGAATGAAAATAGGGAGTCCATGTTTTAAAAAATACTCCCTAGGTCCGGAAATTTTCTTCACATTTGTTTTTTAAGGTCTCCAAAATTACACTTTGACCACTAATATCTTTATTTATGCATAGATATATTTTGTAAAAATTTGATATTTGAAAACTATATATCAAAAGAAATATATTCATATTAAATTTATATCGTGATACAATGTATTTTTTCCATATCTCATAGTCAAAGTTTATAAACTTTGACCAAGAAAAGTCAAATGAGAAGAATATTTCCAGACAGAGTAAGTAGTATATACTGTATATTTTAGTCAAATCATTTTTTTAAAATAAAATTATCAAATTATCTTTTGATTAATGTAACTTTACATGTACTCTGGACTTTTAAAATTTACTAGTATAAATTTGTTTTTAAATTTTACGCCCATACTTGAATAATTGAATTGAAAATAATTTTATATCATAATCAAGCGGGAAGATTAGCTATTAAAAATGGAGTAATACTTTAAATAAGATTTTTGTGTTAGTGTTTTTTAATATGACACTAAAGAAGAATTAGTGAAGAACTAAGAAATTTTAGTAGCTGCAATAAAATACTAACTCGAGAAGTAATAAATGAAAGTGTCAGGATTATCAAAACAAAAGCGTGAATTATGAAATCATAGGGTACGCGCACTAATAACTCTTAGTGCACGACATAAGAAACACTAGTGCGCCTTAGTTCGTTAATTCGCTAATCTTGAAAACTTGTGCGCAGATTATGTGTTCTTGGTTCCTACCTCAGAACCCCCTTATAAACACCCACTCCCAGATGCAACCCATTCTAACCTTCATTGCCTCCCATTTGACATGAATATCAACCAAACTTGTATTATGCAATTGAGGGACTAGAGGGTCGTGATGGGAAGGGCTCAGAAGTGAGTGTTTATGAGGGCGATTTGGGATAGAAATCGTTACTTTTACGAACGAAGCATAATGAGGGCGGTTTGGGGTAGAAATCTTTCTCCCCCTCTTTCTCTCTAGACACACATACACACACATGACCCATGAAGACTTAATTTTTCAGAATCCAATAAAAATTAGATTTTTAATAAAAATACTATCTTTGTTTTTGAGTATTTGTCTGCTTTTGACTTTTTGTAATCAAAATTGATAAAAATTGATCATTAATTAAATAAATTTATATTATATATTGATATAATAATAATTTTATTTGATTTATTGTGTTAAATATTTTTAAAATATTATTTTATCTAGTTAATATACGATGTAGTTCTTATTGAATTATGTATATAGAATGAACACCGATCATAATTGACTGCAAAAATTCAAAACTAGACAAATAATCTAGACAGAGGAGTGTGTGATGGGGGGAGGGGATGGTGTACACCTTCTATTACAAAAGTTAGATTGCGAGAAACGATGCTAGGAATAGGAGCGAATAAATAGCATCATAAATGTTATCACAAATAACATTTATCATTTATGATAAATGTTATCTTGTTTAAACACTTAAGATGTTATTTATTCTTTTGTTTTGAAAAAAAAAAGCACTGTGTAGTTAAGGTCGTTAGAAAACGAATATAAAACTGATCTAGAAATAGAGATCGAGTTTATAAGATAATATCTCTACTAAGATTATTGATCAAGTATTTATTTTGGAACATTATTGATCAAGGATGGAGAGTTAAAAATACGAATAACTATAAAAGAATAAGAACTCGTTGTCCAATTTTCTAGGAAGTTTTCAAAGTGTTTTTTCACACAGCCGCCTAGGTGAAAAATTATACTAATCATCACCATATTCATGAAGATATGGCTGAGTCAAAGGAATAAAGACCAGGCCTGCTAAAATGTAATAACTCGGAACCTTGTAATAAAAATGTTGAATTGGCACAAGAGTTTCGAGCTGCATAAAAACAATCTTAATATATTTAAATACAGTTCTGAAAATGCAAATAATCAAAACTACTATAGCTAGTTGTGATATTCACATCATGTGTGCTAACTTACTGGAAAAAGTTTGATGCAAAACTGAAATTCTTTACCGTTGACACAAAGCTTAAGCCTATGCAGATCTCAGACAACCTTTAAACTTGTGCAAAGAGCTTAAGGATAGGAAATTAACTCCTGTTGGATGGGTGGAGGAACAAGATTTGAATGAAACCCAGGAATGTTATGAACAGCAAGTTATCAAATTCTTTAAGTTGTGCTGCCCAAAAGATAGTCACCTAAATCGCTGTAAGTTCTGGTACGGGTACGCGGTACGGGTATGAAATTCGCTAGAGGTGACAAATTCGGTATGAATGGGGGTAGGTTCATTTGGGTACGAAGCGGTACGCTGTGCCATGTATTCGGTACGGTGTACCAAAAGTCAAAACATAAGTAAATATCTTGAGTATTATGGGATTTATTATTTTTACAATACTCACCAAAGAGGGGTACAGTTCTCAACCTTGGTTTTCTAAGTCTTGAGATTGCTAATTTTTGAAGCCTTGAATTGGCAGCAGAATATGAAGAGGGGTACAATACTCAGTCCAAAGAGGAGAAGGATGAACTCTTTTCATTTATCAGTTCGAGGCTCATAGGGAGTTTCCTTTCACCTCTTGGCTCTTTTTGGCTAACAAACTCTTTCACAATAGTTACATTCAGTCTCATTCGCAGTTTAACAAGTCTTCATTAAAAGGCAACTCTTACAAGGCTTAAGTATTACAGTTAACATCTCTTCTAAATACAAGGCCTAATTTTTTCTTCTTTTTTTCCTCAAACGCAACTCTTTTTCCTCAAAGTCAACTAAACTAGCAGGCTGAGGGGTTAGGAGGGATAAGAACAATCAATTTTACGAACGGAGCACCGTAGGTGTATGAATAGTGGCAGTGGCTTCCGTGGTTACTAAAACCCAGTGGCCATAGATTCAGACCAATTTGCGAATTAGTTTCACATTCGTGTGTTGCACGAGTCATATTTACGTTACTACAAAGTAAACTATATTAAGATCATTTTTTAGAATACAAATTGGTGTATGATGCGGAGTAGAATATAAGGAGATTTCCCTAAGTAGCACGATGAGTAACCAAAATTATCAATCTAACACTGCTATGACATTATTTACATTATTTGTTGTATACATCATGTCATTCTCTTTAGTATTGCCATTTTACCCCTTTATTTTTATCTTCTAGGATTATACTGTTTTTTGTTACCGCGATGTCTTCCCCCTCGCCGGTACCACTACCACTCCCTCCCCCGCCGCCACACTGTCATCATTGCTACCCCGACTATTGCCACACTATCACCCTCTGCTGCCATACTTCCATCATCACCACCACTCTCGGAGCACTACCATCATCGCCGTCCCCGCTAGTGTCGCACTATCATCATCAACATCACCAGTGCCACATTGCCTTCACCCGTTGTCACACTGCCTCCCTCCGCTGCCGCCACTACTGCCGCACTGCCTTTCCCTGCTCGCCACCACACTGCCACCTTTCACCGACACACTATACCACTACCATGTTGTCATCCCATGCCGCCACACTGCTTATCCCGCCGTCATACTATCATCATTGTCACCCTTATTATCGTCGGTACACTACCACTCTCTATTGCCACACTACCATCATCATTACCATTCCCACTACACTATCATCCTCACAATCCCTGCCATCAACATCACCGTCGCCGCCACATTTCCATCCTCCGCCATCCCATTGTCTCCACCACTACCATAATGTCTCGTCACTGCTACACTACCATCATCATTGCCACACCACGATTATCGATGCAACCACGACCATCAACATCACCACCACCACTATGATACATCCTTCTGCTGCCACACTATCGTAGAAATACTCATATTAAAAAAAGCACCAAAAAATGATTAAAGATTTACTAAAAGATGCCATCATTATTCAACATCCATCAGACAAAATATCCTCTTATACAAAAATAGCAAAAGATGTTTATGAGAACCATGAGAAAAAAGACACATGAAAAAGCTCTAAAGATAAATTACGACTATGGCTTTGTGCAAACTTCTTCCTCTCTCAATGCAGACAAGACCTCATTTTCCGGTTGCTAGAAATCCCGTTAATACTAGAGAAAAAACCCTTGATCCACTATAAAATATAATCTAGCGTTATCGGCCAAAATTCCGACGATGCATGGGGCTTTGCGTTCCTTTTGACACTAGGATCCATATGCGAGTGGTCTGCGACATCGCTGATGAGTATGGTGGCATGAAAATGGTCGCGGCCATAATTGGGCATTGAATTAGGTCTCCCCTACGATTTAATGTTTTCGAAAACAATACTTGCAGTGTTTGGTGATGATTTGATCGGCGTGAGGCCATGAAGCTTTGAGGAGGCTAGGTGTCCAACGGTCGGATAGAGTAAAGTCATGTTCTCCCCAGCTTATATTTTTTACTTATTACTCCCTCCGTTCCCCAAATTTTGTCCACTTTCATTTTTGCATACCATCCAATGTACTTCTTTAATCCATTTTATCTTGTAATTTGTATGTTATAGAAATTATATATTAATAATCTATATGTTAAGACAAATCAAACAAGATCACACATGATTATATTTAGGCTTACACATTGAGAGAATTTGATGAGTCAATGTGTTTAGATGAACAATTCTAAAAGTCAAAAGTGGACAAAAACTGGAAGACGAAGGGAGTACTTAATTTTATTTGAACCAGATCAAAAATATTATTAAATAAAACTACATTCAAATCAAATCGGATTAAAACTATTCAGATGGGATGAAAATAAAATAGTTTAAATTTCAAAGCCCATTTGATACACGAAAATAAAATTGAATTGTTTCCGATCGAATTGAATTTTCTAATTGCAATAGTCCCATTGTTTGTCCCTCCAGTGCATCGTACGGCATAATTGCGGTAGCTCAGCAGCTGAGGTCTGCAACTGCAAGGTAAGCTTCAAGCGTTCAACTGTTAGCTTGCCGCAAGCGATGATAGTAGGAATAGGAACGGCGGTTCGTGCGGCGGCAAGAAGATGCCCATTCGACAGCTTTCGCCCCCGCAACCCGCTTATTGCGGGCCATGCCGTCGATCGATTAGCCGCCGCCGCCGCCGGCAGAATCCTCACGCATCGTGAAAGAGACAAGTTATATCACAGTTGGCCCCGTCCTTGTTCTGCGGGCGCCTTCAAATACGGTACCGCCGCGTTCCTCTACTCCGCGTGCTCCAGTACCAGCAGAAGCGAGGAAAATGGACAGGGTGAAAATGGAGGCGATGGTGCAATAGACGGGGTTAAGACAACTAATTTGGAATCTTCTCTCAGGAAAAACAATTTTTCGGAAGCTTATTCCGCTATTGAACTCGCTTTGGACTCGGTTGTCAAGATATTCACACTCTCCAGCAGTCCTAACTACTTTCTCCCTTGGGTGAATAAAGTGGACCGCGAATCTACCGGCTCTGGTTTGTCTTCTTAACTTATGTGCATTTGAGGCATTGGGTTGTTGTTGTTGTTGCTGTTGTTGTATGTGCATTTAAAGTCCGAACCTTTCTTTGAAAGACAATAGTGAATTGGGATAATGGGGGATGGTATAAACGAATTGCACCCAATCGTGGCGCAAATATTATACCCATTTCCTTACATCTCCTACAAAACTATGGACATTGGCATGCTCCGTCTCAAATGGTTGGTACAAGATGCATCCACCTCATATTTGAGTGTCGGTTTTGTGAGGTGTCTCCATTTTGCTAACCATTTTAGCGGCATGCTCTCCGCCATAAGGAGGACACCATCCTACTCCGTGGATTCAGTGCATTTCACTCTAGCTATATCTTATGTTTAATTACATCAAGAGTTTATTTGATCATTGTTTTGTGGTGTAAAGAGCTTTACGAATCTTACACTTGTGTCATTGTCAGGCTTTGTTATTCCTGGAAAAAGGATTCTGACAAATGCTCATGTTGTGGCCGATCATATCTTTGTACTAGTAAGAAAACACGGATCCTCAACTAAGTATAAAGCTGAAGTCCAAGCGGTTGGTCATGAATGTGACTTGGCTATTCTAGTGGTTGAAGATGAAAAATTTTGGGAGGATATAAACCCCTTGGAGCTTGGAGACGTTCCATTTCTGCAAGAAGCGGTTGCTGTTGTTGGTTACCCTCAAGGCAATTACATTGTGTTCGATTTAACAATAAATGTTGTTTTAGTATATGAACTTTATTTATTCCTCCCACATAGTTTAGGCTCTACCTCGAAGGTCCAAAATCGGCTACTTATTTCAGGATAACTTTATGTAAAATCGATCCTCCCACATACTTATTTCCGGTTCCAGTGACACCGGAAAACGGTGCCACTCCGGTGCCACTGGGTTTTTGGGGCACCTCCGGTGCTCCGTTCGTAAAATTGACGGTTCCTACCCCCCTAACCCACCCCCTAAACCCCCCACCCTACCCCCACCCCCACCCCAACCCCGCCGTAACCCCCCCACAAAATGTGTGGCTATTATGCAATGCATAATAGCCACACATTTTGTGGGGGGTTACGGCAGGGTTGGGATGGGGATAGGGTGGGGGGTTTAGGGGGTGGGTTAGGGGGGGTAGGAACAGTCAATTTTACGAACGGAGCACCGGAGGTGCCCCAAAAACCCAATGGCACCGCTAGTGGCACCGTTCTCCGGTGTCACTAGAACCGGGCCGTTGTGATTAATGAAAGATTGTGATTAATAATTACTACTCTCTTCGTTTCTTGTTTCTTTTTTGGGATGTCCCCAAAAAGTCACATCTTTCCTTTTTTGGAAAACTTTGAGTGGCTCACAATCTTTCTCTCTCCTCTGCATCACTTTCAAACACACATTTTCATCTTAAACTTCGTGCCACATCAAATTCGGAGCCTTTTTTAGGATGGAGGGAGTATTAGGTTAGGCATTTAGATCTTCCATTCCGGTATTACTATTAACATTTTGTGTTGTGCCCAGGGGGAGACAATATTTCTGTCACGAAGGGTGTTGTCTCAAGGGTTGAACCTACACAATATGTACATGGTGCGAGTCAACTTCTGGCAATACAAATTGATGCAGCTATTAATCCTGGAAATAGTGGAGGGCCAGCAATCATGGGTGACAAAGTTGTCGGTGTTGCTTTCCAGAACCTCTCTGGTGCAGAGAATATTGGGTATGCCTTGAGACCTAGTTTCATTCTTATTTACTCTGTAACTATTTGAATATTCTTAATACCACCATCAATTTGCATTTTGTCTTTTAGAAAGAGGCAGAGGGGAATAAGATCTAGATTCTAGATTGATATATAACCTTCTGAAATCTACAGTAGTACATTACTACAAATGTATATACGTTCTTCTCATCTATTTAAAAATGAATGTGTTGTATGTAAGTTAATGAGTATGTATTCACCGAATTTTATTTTTTCTTGTTTGACATGTTGAGTATCAATTGCCAAATAAATTTCCTTATTTTCAGTTAAAGGCTAGAATCTAGATTTTAGATGTTAAAAAAAAGAATCTAGATTTTAGAAACAGTGCTATTTACCATATTCTCTTCTACTCTTGACTAATTCCTTATGCATAGTTCTCAAGTTTGCAATGAACTGAAATAGTAAAACTAAATTTCATTAAATGAAAATATTTTGCATGACATTTCATAGTAAACGTGGCATATTACTGCATCCCATTTACACTGTCATTTTGGATTATTTTTTTAATTTCACAATACATGTTGCTTTATAAATTCAAGATGATATTTGATGATATTTTTCCGTTTTGCTATTTATCCACCTCCGCATTCAGTTACTCCATTTAATGAATCTTCAGTGTGGGTAATAATGTCAAGTTATTTCTAATAGCTGATATTTCAAAATAAACTTGGCATGTTACTCTATCCCAGTAGCATTCTGCATTTACAATAGCTGCAATTTGATGCATTGATATAAAATATTGTATTTGTAATTCCATTAATTTTGGGTGATCAATTATACCTATGACCTATGTGTTTACAGTTTGATGGGATGCATGCCTGCATGACCTATGTTTTTACAATTTTCTGATTCTTTTCCTTGGATGCTTCAGTTACATAATTCCTGTCCCCGTAATAAGACATTTTATAGCTGGAGTAGAAGAGAGCGGAAATTATGTAGGATTCTGCTCTATGGGATTGTCATGTCAACCCGTAAAAAATGTGCACCTCCGTAATTACTTCCGGATGGGTCCTGAATGTACTGGAGTACTTGTGACCAAAATCAACCCACTTTCGGATGCTTATAGGATGTTGAGAATTGATGATATCATTCTTTCATTTGATGGTGTACCAATAGCAAATGATGGAACTAGTAAGCTGTTTTGGCCCCTGCATGTTTTTTATTTCTTCATTTACATTGGCAAGTGTGTTTTAATGAAATGTTGGAGTTCCATTTTCATGTGAAAAAGTTTCAGTTCCACTCAATATATTGATATTAATCAATTGCCAATGGTATAGCCATGCAAATAATGAATTGAAAGAGAGAAGTTTTGTGGGATTGCCTTCACTGCCTTGTGATTTTTGAGTTAGCAATACGTTTTAAAATTATTTTCTTTCCATCCCACAATGAACTTCAAACTTTTCTTATTTTGAATTCCCCAAAAAAAACTCACTTTACTTTTTATTAGGAATATGCAGCCTACAAAGGCTTTGTTTGGGGACAGCGTTTTCGATTAGCCTTTAATGGTGTAGATTAATTCCGAAAACACTAACTCTAAAGGCTACCGTCGGATAGCCTTTTCAAAACGCTAACGCTGATGCCAAACGGGGCCAAAATATCTCTCTTCTAAACAAATTTCAGCCACAAAATTAACTTTTCAACACTTTTTTGATTTTCTTAAAGTCAAACACTAAAGTTCTTTTCTGAAGGAGGGACTATTTATTATGCATTTTTTCACTCATTTATGACTTATTTGACTACTAATGATTGTGTATTCTCTACAGTTACTTTTCGAAACAATGAGCGAATAACATTTGATCACTTGGTTTCTATGAAGAAACCAAATGAAACTGCAGAAGTTAGAGTACTTAGAAATGGTGAAGAAATCCAGTTTTGCATCAGACTTTTTCCAGTAAGTTGGCACATGGCACACATGGTGTGCATATCAGAATCAATTACAATACTTTTGACTATATGTATTTTGAAAATTACAATTAAACGTATTGTGGCTTTTAATCCTTTTGAAGTATTTATTTACGAATGTGTGATGTATTGTATTTCCATCATCTCCGATGGAGCCAAAATTTCATCATTTTTTGGCTTTGGGATGTGATGGAATAAATCAAAATGGATCTCTAAACTGTCTGCGCTTCTTTAATTAATGAAGTAGCAGTTAGTCAAGCAATGCAACTTTCGACGTTGAGCCGGGGGTCTCTTTGGAAACAGCCTCTCTACTTTCAAGTAGGGGCAAGGTCTGCGTACACACACCCTCCCCAGACCCTACTCTTGTGGGATTTAACTGGGTTGTTGTTGTTGTTGTTGTGTGATGT